TAGACAACTAAGAAAGCACGAGAAGAATTACCCGACCCACGATTTAGAGTTAGCCGCAGTGATTTATGCATTAAGATGTGGAGGCACTACTTGTATGGCATTCATGTTGATATCTATACGGATTATGCCTCCAGTATATCTTCAAGCAAAAGGAATTGAATTTACGTTAAAAGAGATGGTTAGAGCTACTTAAAGATTATGACATTGATATTTTATACCATCCAGTGAAGGCGAACGTTGTAGCCGACGCCCTCAGCCGTAGATCTATGGGTATCCTGTCATATTTACAGCCAGAGCAGAGGGGAATAGTCCATGAGATTCATCATCTATCTAGTCTTGGAGTCGGTTACTGGACTCAGGTGATATTGGAATTACTATTCAGGATACGGTAATATCCTCTTTAGTAATTGAAGTGAAGGAACGCCGGTACGAGGATCCTGTGTTAGTTCATTATAGGGATACCACCCCTCAGAAGGAGAAGACACCGTTTGAGATTACAGAAGATGGGGACCTCAGATATCGAGGATAATTATGTGTCCCTAATGTTGCAGGGCTGCGTCGGCAGGTTATGGGAGAAACTCATTATTCTCGTTATTCTATCCATCCAGGAGCAACAAAGATGTATCATAATATCAGGAAAGTATATTGGTGGGACGGAATGAAAAAGGATATAGCGGAGTTTGTTGCTCAGTGCCCTAACTGTCAGCAGGTTAAGATTGAGCATCAAAAACCCGATGGATTATTGCAGGCTATGGAGATTCCGACTTGGAAATGGGAAGTAATCAATATGGATTTCATTGTAGGCTTACCTCGTACCCAGCGTAAGTTCGATTCTATATGAGTGATTATTGATAGGCTTACAAAATCAGCCCATCTTCTGCCCGTTAAGACTACATATTCCGCAGAGGATTATGTAAGGCTTTATATTAAGGAGATAGTACGACTGTATGGTGTCCCTGTATCTATTATCTGGATAGAGGAGCTCAATTTACAGCTAACTTCTAGAGGTCCTTCCAAAAAAGATTGGGGACTCAGGTAAGTCTTAGTACAACATTTCATCCCCAGACAGACGGACAGGCTGCGCGTACTATTCAAACACTTGAGGATATCTTACGGGTTTGTGTGATAGACTTCAGGGGTAGCTGGGATGATCATCTGCCGCTTATTGAGTTCGCATATAATAATAGCTACCATTCCAGTATTCAGATGGCTCCATACGAAGCTCTTTACGGACGGAAGTGTAGGTCGCCTATAGGGTGGTTCGATATTGGGGAAACTACGTTAGTAGGACCAGAATTGGTACAACGTGCAATCGAGAAAATTAAGCTTATACAGGAAAGGCTATTAGTAGCTCAAAGCTGTCAGAATTCTTATGCGATTTATCGACGGCGAGACTTGGAGTTTCAAGTTGGCGACTGGGTATTCCTAAAGGTATCATCGATGAAAGGTGTTATGAGGTTCGGTAAGAAAGTAAAACTTATCCCTCGGTACATTGGACCATATAGGATCAAACGCAAGGCAGGCCAGGTAGCATATGAATTGGACTTGCCTTCGGACTTGGAGTCTGTACATCCAGTCTTTCATGTGTCTATGCTCCGTAAATGTATCGGAGATCCTTCCAGATTCATGTCAGTTGACGACGTTCAGGTCATAGAGCAGTTATCATATGAAGAAACTCCCATTGCTATATTAGACAGACAGGTTTGGAGATTGAAAACTAAAGACGTAGCTTCGGTGAAAGTACTTTGGAGAAACAACAATGTGGAAGAAATGACTTGAGAGGCCGAAGAAGACATGAAGTCTAGATATCCTCACTTATTTCCTCTTCCAAAGAAGGGTCTGACTGAGACATCACAACCTTAAGGTACGTGTATGGATTCTTGTGTTAGTTATTGTCATTGGTCGTGTGAGGCCATTGTCGTTATTGATGATTGTAGTCCTATGTGGCGTTGAATTATTTAGTTTCCACAGGAAGAATTGGTAGTAGTATTGTTACAAAGGCGACTCTGCCAAAGTTTATATAGATCCCAGGGAGTTGAACCTTCGAGGATGAATGTTTCTAAGGGGGAAAGGATGTTATATCTCGCATTTCCGTACGCTAAAGTTTCGTCGTAAGTTAATCGATGTAAGCTCAGGGATGAGATTTTCTTGAGATTATAAGCATCTATTCTATTTATAACAAGCAATAAGTAAGTGCCGTGAAAGATAAATGGTAAACGAATCAAAGAAAATTAGTTTCGTTGAAGGTTGTCGATTTGGGATACAATACGGTCCGAGCTACAATAATCGGTATTTATGGACTAGTGTCATACAAGGTACCACATAACCATGATAGTAGGGTACATAAAGTGTGTCAAGTGAGTAATATTTTAAGTAATTTGAAATAATTCTTAATTATGTAGGTAATTGGTTAAATATTGGATTAGTGGAGAATTAATAAGTTTATTAAGGAGTTGGTGGATGGTTAATTAAGGTCTTTAGATAAAGACCAAGGAATCTAACGTGGCAGCAAGACCTTGTCCAAATTATGACTCTTACCTTATGAGTGAAAAGGTGGTATATTTGAGTAATATGTTGCTTAGTCATACCATTTAAAGCCTAACACCTCTCTAATTCAAAAGAAAGGTCTTATATCAAAGTAGGCAACGGATATTCATGCAAGAATTCAAGAATTCAAGCAAGAAAATTCCTTAAGCATCTTAGCAACGTAACATAAAGAAGCCCGGCATAATCTTTCTCAAGAATATCATACGGATTTTTCCCTACTCCGATCTTTCATCATGAGTTTTGTCACAATTGTCGTGTGTTATTAGGATTGTCCAGAGAACTGGCTCAGGTATGTTAAGGCTATCCCTCCTTTCTTTTGGCATGATCCATACGATATAAACGAAACGAGAAAATGCACAACTTCCATAAATGACTCTATTCATAGGAGTATTAAAGGTGTCTATGTTCTTGAATTCCCATGTATCTTATTATCACATCTTCTGTTCATGGGTCTCAGAAAAATACGTAGTCGATAAAGTTTATCCGAAAGGTATATTGATCTTAGTAACATATTTTTATGCATTTCATTCATTTATACATGTACATTGACCCATGACCATATGGCGTTATATACGCGTATATATATGTACTTATATGTATATGGGATATGGGAAAAGATTACCGCGTTATATACGCACCACCACCTGATCAGCTGGTATATGTTGACGATGTTGCCCACAGTGGCCGAGATGATATCATGGGATGCCCTCAGAGGCTTGATGATGTTATGTACACCTATACCTATGCATGACACAATATTTATATGAACGTGCATGACATTATTAATGTTTCAGAATTTACAAAGTTATTTAGACTTACAGATGAAATTCTTTATTCCATGTTTCATCTATGTCTCTTATGTACTGATCTTCATGACTTACATACTCAGTACATTATTCGTACTGACGCGCTATTTCCCGGGGCCTGCGTTTCATGCCCGCAGGTGCAGGTAGACAAGCTGACGGTCCCCCTTCTTAGGATCCTTGATCAACGAGAGTTGATGTGCTCCATTTGATCCGGAGCTGCTTTGGATTTTGGTACGATATGTTTGTATACATATATGGATATGACGGGGCCCAGTCCCGCCCTTGTACAAGTTGTATATTATGTTAGAGGTCTGTAGGCAGTTATGTATAGTTGGATAATATATGGCCTTGTCGGCTTCCAATTTTGGATATATAGTTGTCCATAGCAGCTTTGTTGGCTCGCCCTACATATTCCGCACGTATATGTATATATGTCTTTTGGACAGGTTTTCCTCACGCATGTTATTCTCGTAATTCAGCAGATGTTATTCATGTTTATATTTTAGTCGCATGCTTAAGGGTTTTCGACAGGTAGGACTCGGGCACTCGTCGCGGCCCATCGGTTTGGGTCGTGACGCAATCACATTTCCCCATACATCCGTAATGATCGATTTCACATTATTGCCATTTATACTTTTCGCCCGAAATATCAGTTGTTCATGATTCCACCCTCCCTCAAAGGAAATAATTCGTCAAAGCATACATTCTTTCTATAATAACTCCATCAGTCTCATTCGCTGTTGGATCCAGAACTACACTCGACTTGATTTCCGTAAAACCATTGGTTCGTAGGCAACTCAAGGACGAGGGTTCGGCCCCCATATTTTAAAGCATCCCATTTGGACAAAATTAATCATCGTCTTGATATCTTTACACGACAATACATTCATTTTTTCGGGTAAAAAGGAGCAGCCGTTGATACTCAATTTTGCCCACATGATTCTCCATTTAGCCTTTGTGGGTTGGTATGTTATAATGTATTTTTATATATTTATAGGATATTTTAATGCATTATTACTCAATGAGTTGTTTAAAATATCAATTTATTATTTTATTACCACTTCATAAGCATTTTTCTTAAATTATTATTAAATAGTTTCTAGATACATCATAAACATTTTTATTAATTCTAGCATTTACAACTGAAAAATAGTTTACTTATTATTTTCTTAAAATTATTTATGAGTGACCAGTTGGTCAAAATATTTATTTATGTTTTTATAATATTTTATGCATATGTTATGAAACTTTTCTACAATTGTATTATATTTTAAATTATTTATGCATTATTTGCAATAATAGCATATACTTTCACAATAATTATATTTATTATACTATTTAAGTTAAAACAACATTTTACTTTTTTTATAATCATAATTTACTATTTTTAAAGTCCCTAATTTTATAAAGGGCATTTTTACATATTTTTTAGCTATTTTATAATTTATTTTTCTAACTAATTCTATGTATTTTAAAAATCAGCCCATATAAGCTGAAATATTCAGACCAAAAGAGGTCCAAAACCTCTATGCCCAACACTCTGAGCCCAATAACATACGACCCAATAGCCATACCCGGTTGATGACCTGCTACCCGCCCCGTTTAGTTCTTTTAATTATTAGCTGTTGATCTTAAATGACTAACGACCCACAACACACCCCCTTCTTTCCCTATATCCGCCTACCCCTAAACCCTAACCCATTTCCCCATCGCCAGCCGCGCCTCAACGCTCTCAATCCTCTCCACTCTTTCTCCCTTTCTATGAAACCCTAGCCGCTTTACCCTAGATCCTCTCCAAATCCGGCCACACTATGGAATCTCCCCGTTATTTACTTACCTTATATGTGTTACTCTATTATTATTTGCACAACCAAGGAACCACTTAGTACTTGCCTGATTTTGGAAAGTACCATCTCTCAGAATCCACCCGATTGACCTCGATCTTTGAAGATTCAGATGATATTTCGTTTATATACACTCGAAATAAGGTTACACGTGTTCGATTCAATGAGAACTTTGGCTGTTTTTGACCACCTGTCGAACTAGGGTTTGCCCGATTTTACTCTTTTCTGATTCGAAATAAGTTTGCACATTGATTTTTTTCTTATTCTGTGTTTGATTGATGTTTTTACTTTCTTGATCTGGGTAAGTCAAACACTATATAAATCCCACCCCAATTCCCCATAAAGGGGACCTGAATCACTTTCTCTTACTCACACTTACTCTATTTTGTTCTGGAACTATTGTGTTCAATTAGTCATTGGCCGGATGAATGCCAAGGCCACTATGGTGCTGTTTAAGAACCTCCTCCACCGCAAGCACTGCTCGGAGCCCTTTTTGAGGCTCTTGTGAATTCTGAAGCATTGGGGATTTGGGGTTCCCTTTTAATCACTATTGTTTGAGCCATCATTGAAACTCTACGTTTCCTCCTTCTTTGCAAGTTTATCTTGCAACTGGTTAGTGTTCTCGAGTCTTACGATTCGAATTACTTCCCTCATATATGATTATGCCTTTGTGAATTCTGTGTGCCACTATAATTTGAATAATCATAAAGAAAGCTTGACTTAGCTTCTCTGCTATTTGTAAATTTCTAGTGTTGTACTGTCGTGGTTCAAGTGATGCTCTATAGTTTGTTTGCTTACTAGTCACAAATTTGCTTAAGTCAAAGATTTTAAAACAAGCCTCACCGCATGTAGTTTAATCTCACCATGTGTAGTTAACTCCAATGAATTTTGATCTTCTCAGAATTGGTTATTTGCTTGCTAGTTGATTTGTTGATCGTTACTTCGTATGATTTCATGGTTATGCATTACTTTAGATTCCCTTGTTGAAACCTTCTATGAGAGACTGATATCTTCTCAGAGTTATTTTCTGGATTGTGTTCGTTTTTAGGGCTATCATGCTAGGGCTTCCTTATCAGAATTGCTATCTTTCATAGTTAGTCTTTGATCGTGTGTTACTATAGGTTTCATGTTATATTTTTAATGTGATGATTTATGAACAAGTTATTGATTATGCTTCATTTGTATTTCCTGTTAAGTCTTGCCTGCATGAACTATCATCATCTCAGAATTAGAACTCTTATCTGGCTATCCTTTCAGATCTTGACTATGTTTGCCTCGAATCCCGGTTTGTTACTCTTTGTGGTTAATTCCTAACTACTCTAAGACTCCCACCCCTGTGCTATTGTCACTTTAAACCTATTTGATAAACCTGGGAAGCTATCGTATGTGCTCATACTATGTGTTTTACATACCCTTCACAGTCTTTGTGTCTATAGGAGTCTTTCTGTAGCTTTCAATTGTGTTTTCCTATTTTTGTGTCCTTCGGATGTTTTGAAATTCTTGCTCTTACTTGTTGTAGTGTTAAGAACAAGATGAGTGTATACTCTTGCTTAGAATCCAAATGATTTGGTTGTCTTCATGCCCTGGTTGGTTGTAATTGAATTGGGATAGACAGGAGAATTATTTCTGTTGTTTGGGCCTGGACTATCGGGTCAGGTTTTGGTATGGGGTTTGAAGCATATTATCAACACCTAGCGCATTGGGCCTGCCGTCTGTGTAAAGTTTTAAGCCTAATTGAAGGCCCATATGTATTACTGGGTTACTTTACATTTGTAATTGTGTCTGTAGTTATTTCATTTTGGGCCTGTAATAACTTGTAAAAATAAATTATGGGGAAGTTAGTTAAAAGGGGTTGAGGTACTTTAATTTTTGTAGGAACGGGTAGAAAACATGCCTATAGGGTCCAAATATTATTAGTTATTACTTGTATGCTATATCCTATTTGTGAGCGATACTTGCTAATAGAAAACATACCTATAGGAATCTCAACTTGGCATATTCGCCTAGAAATCATGATTTAGGACCATAAATAACCGTTAAATCAATGTTGCCAATACGATGTAAAACTTTTCTAGAAGATATGTCTATAGGGCAAACTCCTTGTTAACTTGTTTGCATATTTGTCTCCGCTAGAGATCAAGTGTTAGAATCAAAACATTTAGCATCATACCTATAGGACTCTATTAACTAATACGACTGTTCGCATTTCCAGTTATGAGCACAATACTTCACCTAGAGATAATGACAATAGGAATATAAACAAGAACCAGTATCGCTTCACTACTGATTTGTCTGAAAACGAAGTGAACACGATCATCTAGAAATTCAGCCTATAGTTTTTAACCATGAAGCATGTTTTGTTTTATTATCCATGTGTGAACTCTAAGCCTGACTTGTCATTCGCGTACAAACCATGCCTTAGGTTTAAATAAATCAAATGCAGTAACCTATAACTATCCGTCTTAATTCCAATTAGAAGAGCATCTCGCCTGTCCATTCTGCTACTGACTATCAATGTTGTTTAACAATTACGTGCGTATGAATCTATGTGTGGAGGTAAACATGAGCCCTTTTGTGCTAATTGTTTCCCTATACGAAGTCATATTTGTCTCTATTATGTGGCGCCTAGTCTTTTAGTTTTGAGAAGCCTAGGATGAGTCTAGAACTACCTATGAACCGATGTGTGGAGGTAAACATGAGCCCCTTTGTGCTAATTGTTTCCCTATATGAAGTCATATCTGTCTCTATTATGTGGCGCCTAGTCTTTTAATTTTGAGCAGCCTAGGGTGAGTCTAGAACTACCTATGTAGAGCTCCAACGCCTCTTGGACCATAAGCATTGGACGAGTAGGCACAAGTAGGGTACGACTTAGAATTGAATTAGTGTGCTTTAGGTAAACAAATTAAAGATAGTAATTGGGTAGCCGGAGATGATAATCTTTGCTCGTTGGATAATATGAGCAACCCTTGCACTTATGAGGACTGCGAAGTATTATTTATGTTGCACGGGTGATCCTTTAGGCTAAATTATTTAGGACCCCTCCCCTGTCGCGGCTAATTGTTTCTTGTATGTTTAGTTTTGTTGGAATTTAGGTTTTACCAGGCTATACCTTGTAACCTCCAAAGAGTTGTACCAGTTCTTATATAAATAAAGTCTCTTCTTCGGCATTATTCCTGTTGCATTATTTGTGTGATTATTTGTTCACTTGGAATAACGAATTGTTCACCCAAACTTTTGCTCCTTTTGTTTAATAATGAACTCATCTGCATGCTCACTTAGAATAATCCCACATAGTATAAGATTCTATAGGGAAACACAGTCATGGATCTCGAAGAGTGCCTAACACCTTCTCTTTGAGGTAATTCGAGCCCTTGCTCGATTTTTGGTGATACTGACTAGTTCAAATAGATTCATTTGTAAATAGGTGCCCTAACGCACCTTAAAATCGTTAGGTGGCGACTCTTCTCTTTTAATACCCTATTTAATAGAGTTGTCACACATCGAAACCCGCTTTTATGAGAAAATGGGGCACGACAAGTAGCATGTTGTTAGTGATTGATTGCACTTCTATCTGAGGGAATACAATTGCGGTGGCCAGATTTTTAGTGGTGGGCTATGCCAAATCTTACAAGGCTACTTCTGACACAAGAGGTGCCACACCCTGATTGTTCGGTTCGTTCCCGTTGTTTCTGTTGTTTTTATTGTCTATGACATCACCCATGTCTAGTTTGATTTGTTCTATTGGGTCTGTTATCGTTTGTCTTTCTTGTTTACTCGATTTAATGCCTTGAAAGCTTTCTTAGGGTCCGGTAATGCTTCAAACAACTCACTAGTTCTTGAGGAATTTTTGGCATGCACCTTTAACACATAAGATTACAATCATTAGAATTTCAGTATAATAATTTTCAAATCAAGAAAGTTAACTAAACTAAGAATAATAGCAATTCTTCTAGCCGTAACTAATAACACCGTTAAATCCCCGGAAACGACGCTAAAATTTAATAACACCCAACTATGCCTTATAAAAAGGATTGAGTGATCGTTGCAAATTTAATCCGGTTTATAAGTCCGGAGTCGAATCTCACAGAAAATTAATTTATAAATCACGACAACTAGTTTCGCAAGAGTTCAAGTAATCAACTTTCAGAAATTTTAAATAAGATTTGAGTGGTTATTTACTAAGAGAAAATTAATTAAAATGATGTAAATTTATAACTAACAAAGTAAATGTTGTAAAAAAGATTGGAATATTCTAGAGTTATAATTTTCCTAATCGCCGGAATCTTTCCCGCTATGTTTCTATAAATCACCTAAGTATTCTCTACCGATCGTGAGTACACTGGGTGTTATAATTCTCTTCCGAGCAACTACAATAATTTACTAGACGTATTCTTCTGAACTATGCTAGCTGACACTAATTCACCGCTCACTACGATCGCACCAAGGCTTCATTATTTCTAATCCTACCTTTAAACCATCTAATTTGTAATGACCCGACCAGTTGTTTTGAGCTCTAACGCATCGTTCGGCAGTTTGAGGGCATGAGCAGATTCAGTTTAGGTATTATGACTTGTACGCGTGGTTAGAATTGGAATTTGGGAAGTTCAGAGTGGATTTGGAAAGAGAATTCTCATTTCGGAAGCTTTAAGTTGGAAGAATCTGACTAAGGGTTGATTTTGAGTAAACGACCTCAGAATCGGGATTTGAAGGTTCCAACAGCTTCGTATGAAGATTTTGGACTTGGGCGTATGTCTGGATCGGGTTTTGGATGGCCCGGGAGCGTTTCGGCGCCTATTGTGGAAGGTTGGCATTTTCAAAGTATTTCATAAATTTGGGTTGAAGTGCATTTCAATGTTATCGATGTCCATTTGTGATTCTGATTCTGGGAATAGCTCCGTATGGTGATTCTGGTATTGGGAGAACGTCCGAAAGTAGATTTGGAGGTCCGTAGGTCATTTTGGGGTCATTTGGCGAAAGTTGGAAAATAGAAGATTTTTGGAAAGTTTGACCGAGAGTTGACTTTTTGATATCGGGGTCGGAATCCGATTCTAAAAAATTGGAACAGATCCATTATGTTATTTATGACTCGTGTGCAAAATTTGTAGTTATTCCAGATTGATTTGATACTGTTCGGTGCAAAATATAGTAGTTGGAAGATTTGAAAACTCATAATTCGATTCAATGCGCGATTCGTAATTTTGGCATTGTTTGACGTGGTTTGAAGCCTCGACTAAGTTCGTATTGTATTTTGGGACATGTTGGTATAATTGGTTAAGGTCCCGAGGGCCTCAGGTGGATTTCGGAAGGTTAACGGAATGGATTTCGAACAAAGGGAGCTGCTGGAATTTTCTGTTGCAGAAGCTGTTCGCCAGAAATTTCTTATGCGTGGAGCCAACTTTGGAAGCTTATATCTCGCAATATATAAAGAATCTGAGAATTGTCAAAACATAAAAGTTGTAGCCCTTTGATTCTAGTTTCCAGAAAAGTAAATCATTCATCATTTGGACATATATATAGAAAGTTACGTTCGATTGAATGAAGGCTGGTAAAGCAGTTTTTGGCTTGAAATTTTTGAGACAAGTCGCATTTACCTGGACAAAATATATATGTCCGGAGTCCGACATTTTTGTTCATTTTAGAGTTTTAGACGTCGATTTTGGGTGATTTCAGAGGCATTTTTCACCACTTTGAGTTGGGTAAGTATTCTTTATCCGAAGTTGATTATATTTCATGATTCCATACTCATTTATATCATAATCCATGAATTTATGGAAGAAAAATCAGATTTTAATCAAATCTTCCAAAAACAAAAATTTAAGATTTGAAAACCAATCCAATGTCGGAATTCCATAATTTTTGTATGGTTGAACTCGTATTGGAACGGGTGTTCGGATTTCATGAGTTTTTCCGGGATTTGAGACGTGGGTCTCACTGTTAATTTTTTAATGAATTTCGAATTTTAATCCAGAAAATTAGTAAATTCATATGGAAGTAAATCCTACAATTTGTATTGAGTATATCGAATTGTTTATGACTAGATTTTAGGCTTTTAGACATGAATTCGCGAAGCAAAGGTTTATTGGAATCTTGAATTTGGTTGCGGAGCGAGGTAAATCTATTTTCTAACCTTGTAAGGGGGAATTAACCCCATAGGTGAACTAAATTAATATATGCTTTTATTTATGGGGGTTACGTACGCACGAGGTGACGAGAGTCCGTACGTAGCTACTAGCTATGCCTATGTCCGGTAGTTTTAGGTGTACACCACGCCTTGTTGATATTGTTATTTGACTTATGTTTATTATTTGCCTTCAGAAGAAGCGAGATTGAGTTTGCTTATTTATTTCCTTGAAAAGAGTAGGAATGGAGGTATTTGAGATTTTAAAAGCTTTCATTTGAATTTCGTATTTTTTTTGAAAAATAATTGAGAAATATTATAATAACTTGAGAAAATCTATGTTCAACCACGTGGCAACTATATTCCGCGAGCGGGGTAAATTTTCACTACTCTCATGGGAGCGGACCGTTCGCCTCGACAGGTTCAATAGATGCATCTATGGTTCGTGCCGTTCGACCCTCGACAGTGCACAATTTATTTTTAGGTTGGTTCGTGCCGTTCGACCCTCTTCAGTGCACAGTTTAAATATTTATGTTGGATCGGGCCGCACGACCTCAACATGATTTGCGCATTATTGAATTGGTTGCTTGGGAGTTTATAATAATTGATATTACTTCATTGGCCTGAGATATAAATTGTTAAATGATGAAAAATAAATTTGGAAATTTCTTATCAATAAAAGAATTGTTTACTTACTTCATGATATTGAGATTATAGTCGTTCTATGTAATCCATGCTAAATTATATCATTGGTATTTTATTTATAGCCCATAGTAAATGTCGGAGTCGACCCCTCGTCACTACTTCTTCGAGGTTAGACTGGATACTTACTGAGTACGCGTTGATTTACGTACTCATACTACACTTGCTGCACATTTTTCTGTAGGCACATATATATTTAGTGGCCTTGTGGGCGCAGAGGCGTGGTTAATGCGGGGACTTAAGTGAGATGCATTCCATGTACAATAGAGTCTCCTTCAGAGTTATCTTTATCATTCCTATCTAATTTGTATTCCACGCAGATGCTGTATTTTATTTTATCTTTCCAGTTGATGCTCGTGCACTTGTGACACCGGGTTTTGGGGTGATTAGGGGTTGTTCAGTATTGAAATTGTTAAAATATTATTATTTACTCTGTAAATTTCATCTTTTACTATTAAATTGAAGGAAATCGAGATTTCAAATACTAAAGTGAATAATTAAGCTAATCAAAAATTGTTGGCTTGCCTGACAGCGGTGTTAGGCGCTATCACGACCTTTAATGGATTTTGGATCGTGACAGCATGGTATCAGAGCGTTAGGTTCACTTAGGTCTCACGACTCATGAGCAAGTCTAGTGGAGTCCTGCGGATCGGTACAGAGACGTCTGAACTTATCTTCGAGAGGCTACAGGGCTGTTAGGGGCACTTCCCTTCTTGATTCCTCATCGTGCGATTTGATTCCTTTGAGGCTTATGCCTTCATTTCCTTCCTATTCAATCTTATGCGGCATGAAGCGCTTGTTATAAATGGTACAACAGATGTGGTGCATGATGTTTCTCCCTGCGTATTTGCTTTGGGCTATTGTCATCGCTTTGTGGAAGGCCGTTCCGTCATTTCAGGTCAGTATCAGTATTACCTGAAGTTTTGAGATATGGCATTGATTGTTATGACGATTCGTGCGTTACTATCGCACAGTGTTTGTGTAATGGTAGGATGCTTGTCTATGCGTTTAGGCAGTGAATGACTTGGAAGGAGGTTTACTCAGTGCATGATTCAGAGATTCGGTATTGATGTTCTTAACGTCAATACCACACAAGAGGGGTGATTTGTGTGGTACCCAATTTTCGCTCTAGAAGAACCTGGTTCTTCTAGGTGTACTAACTACTACTGTTTGTGGAATAATAAGTACATAAAATAAAGAACACAAAAATTTTTACGTGGAAAATACCTGGCTCAAAAGGTGAAAAAAACCACGAGCTACTACTCAGTAGGATTTTCCCAAACTTTCACTAAAATCACAGAGCCAAAACAGTATTTACAAAACTCTTTGTAAACCTAAGGATTAACTCTA